TGATTTAGGGGTGCGGGGAGCCCACTGTGACCCCGTCACTGCTCTGCCTACACCCCACTCCCCAATCAGGCCACACCGCTGCCGCCCCTTACACACCCCAGCCCAGCTTCCCTCTGCTGTGCCAAGGCTGTTGCTTCGATTATTTAAATAAAAAGACAGTGGAACTGGAACTCAAATTCCTGTTTCTGGAATTTTTACTGGGAACTAGGACAGAAAGAGTGCACTAGTGGGTTTGGCTCAGTGGATAGAGCTGCGGGTCAGGGCGAGTGCAGGAGGCAACCCATCAATGTGTTTCTCTCACACCCTCCCCTCTAAGAAATCAATGGGAAAATATCCTGGGTGAGGGACTTGGAGTGAAGGCAGAGTATGAATTCCAGAGGAAGGTCAGGCTGGCTTCAGTGTGAACTGCCAGCTGTCCCGGGTGGGGCAGCAGAGCTGGGCGACAGGGTGGCAGTGGCTGGTGCAGGAAGAAGGAGGGAAGTCCACGGTTGGGCGTGGAATCACAGACACCAGGGAGCCCTGCTCCCCACCCTTCCATTAATGACCCGGAAAGAGCTGCTGCCTCTACTGAGAACGCAGTGGGGGGGTGGGGGTGGGGGTCTGAGAGGCTGGGTGGGGCTCAATTTTTTTTCTTTTTGCTCTTCTGATTGAATTTTTTGCTTCCTCATATTCCAAATATGCCTCCAGCCCCGCTGCAGCCGGAGGCGGGGGAGCGGAGCGTGGTGGGGAGGGGAGCGGGGCTGGCGACTCTGGAGAGAGCGGTGCCTTGGCCTAGCCCACCCACCAGCCTTGGATCCCACTGGACACCGGAGGCACGTCCACCGCCCTCTAGAGTCACCCACGCCGACCCCTCCCCTCTTCCCTAGACGTCTTTCCCTCTTCTGGGCTGCACCTTCCCCATCCTTTCCTGGGCTCCCGACCTCCGTCCTCTCCCCGCTCCCTCTCCTCGCTCCCGGACCTGCCCTTCTCGGCGCCCCTCTTCCCTAGGGAGATGCGATGAGCCTGTGTCCCAGCGCCCTCATCGCCATCCTGGGCACGGTGCCCATCCAGTGCCCGTGCTGGGGAGGGAGCACTCCGCGGCCCCTCTGTGACTTCCCTGCCTTGACCGCCCCTCCAGCTGGAGTCCCGGAGCCATGCCCCAGGGGACCCAGCCAGGGGGTGGGCTCTAGAGCGGGTGGGGTGGAGAGGAGGAAGGACGGGGCCCTGGGCTCCTCTGAGATGCTCCCAAGCGCCAGGGGGGGCCGAGCGAGGCGCAGGCAACCGGGCGGCAGGCATGATGCCCTCGCCTAGTGACTCCAGCCGCTCGCTTACCAGTCGGCCTAGCACCCGGGGCCTTACCCACCTCCGCCTCCACCGGCCGTGGCTGCAGGCCCTGCTCACGCTGGGGCTGGCCCAGGTGCTTCTGGGCATCCTGGTGGTCACCTTCAGCATGGTGGCCTCCTCTGTCACCACCACCGAGAGCATCAAGAGGTCCTGCCCGTCTTGGGCTGGATTCTCGGTGAGTTGGGTGCACAGTTGTTGGGTGGGGGCGGCTCCTTGGGCCCCACCCCTCCACACCAGCTGCCAGTTCAAATCCTGGCCTCTCCTCCCTCTCCTGGCCCTCTCCCCCTCCTAAAAGGGCTGGGTGCACCCTGTGGTGAGGGGCTCACTCAGGGGCCTCCCCTGCCAGGCTGAGCCTGTGCCCACTCTGTCCCCAGCTGGCGTTCTCCGGGGTAGTTGGCATTGTGTCCTGGAAGCGGCCATTCACTTTAGTGGTAGGTGCCAGGGTCTGGTGTCCACTGGGAGGCAGGTGCCCAGCACCTGAGGGGATGCCCATTTACGCCCTCAAGAAGGGAACTGGCCTCCGGTTCCTGCCACCCAGGCACGAATGAGTGTGAAGGAGGGTGGCTCCCTCCTTGGTGGCCCCCGCTCCTGAGCATCCCGGCCCTGAGCCCGCACCTGTCTCCCCAGATCTCCTTCTTCTCCTTGCTGTCGGTGCTGTGTGTCATGCTCAGCATGGCGGGCTCTGTGCTCTCCTGCAAGAATGCTCAGCTGGCCCGAGACTTCCGCCACTGCTCCACGGTGAGATGAGGAGGGCGGGCCGGAGAGAACTGGGGGGGCGGGAGGGGGGGAGATGTGAGGGACACCAGGCC